TAAAGTGAGAACGGTAAAACAATATTTTTTTTATCTCACTTTATTTAATACAAATTTCAATTGCTTATAATTTAATAAATAAGCGATTTTTAAATATTAATTTGTGTACTTGTTTCTCTAGAATAGATATATAGATGTACAAAGTTATATATTAACATCATGTATAATGATAATTTAAATTTAATTTTTATATCTTACATAATTATTTTTTCTTTTTAATTTTTATATTTGTAATATATAACATATTGCACATAATTAATTGATTCTTTACTAAAAAATTAGAAAATGCTAAAACATTTATATATTTTTGTTGTTATTTAGCGTTATTTTTTCATTAAAATTGAATTGAAAGATACATAAAATTTTTCAGATATACTTTCTTTATGTATATCTAAAAGAAAGATCTAGTTTACAAAATTTGATATCTGTTTATGAAATTATATTTGTTATAAAATATTTTGATTTTTTATATTAGATTTTAATATATAATTTAATATAGACTTAATAAAATCTTATCTTATCATTAAATATCTTTAATTCTTTTAATTTTCTGACTAAGACTTAATAAAGCTAATTATAAATTTAAGAAACTTATAAAAATAAGAAACTCGTTAATTTTATTAAAAATTTTTCTTTTTTTTGATATTTTATATAGCGAATCTTTGAATATTTCAAACATATCTGTTTCAATTCGATGTTCAATTATTCAAGTTTTGAGTTAAATTTTATATAAAATGTAAATAATGTAAATTAAATCAATTTGTTTTAAATCTTCAAAATACACATTATAAAACATTTTAAGTATTTATTTCAAAGTTTATTTCAAAAAATCATATTGATAAACGTAATAATGATAAATTAATTTCAATTAAATATTTTTAGTTATAATAATATGTACATAAAAAATAGAATCATTTATTAATTAATTAATAGTTCTTATCTATAATTCACTAAGAATTATGGTTACTTAACATTTATTTTTTTAAAGAAATACATCTAACATTATTTATTTTTATCTATTTTTAAAAATTTTTCTAAAATATCACATTATATCATTAAACAAATTGATATTATTACAGTTTCTCAACAATATGTGATTCTTTCTAGATTTTCAAATTTTTGTTCCATTTTCAAAAACAGATTTTTCTCTAATTTTTTGTTCGAGTTTCAAGTTATTTGAATGTTTAGAAATATATTAATTAATTCAAATATTTATATCAATTATATAATATTTAAATTAAAATATACATTCAAATGACTATTTCATGTAACTATTATTTTAAAGAAAAATTTTATTTCCAAAAAATTCTTATATCATTCGAATAATAAAAATCTTTATTTCTATTTATCTATTTCAAAATATTTTGCTCTGTCAATGACAAAAAAAAAGATCACATTACATTGCTATCTCTAGTTACAAATAATGGAAACGATGTAGAAGGAAAGAAGAAAGAATTAATTCATTTCCAGTTGGTTATTACGCTCGTTCGAGAACCATCTGGTCGCGAGGAACTTGACATTGAAACATATGACACGCATATCCATACACATTATAACAAGCACAAAAAGGATGCTCAACGTATGCAAAACACTTATATACGCGTTAGAACATCGCCATAGAAAATAAAGGATTAAGGTGCGCATGGGCGTATCTATGACGACGATTGACTCCTACTACGACCTCTAGTCGTTTCTAACAATCCATTACAGCGTTATCACGCCGCGACCAGGAAACTTCTGTCTGTGAAAGTTCCGTTCAGGAAACCTCGTGTTTTTAGCCGCCGGAAACAGAGTTCCTTTCGAGCAGTTGACAACTTGTAAACAAAATCTTCATTGGAACTGAATGATCAATGGAAAGAACAAATATTAAAAAGAAAGAGCTTTCTTGTATATTTATCATGTAAGTTTGTGGACGTTGTAATTATACAATTGTGTTGAAAGTCATGAATGATCAAATCTATTTTTTTCTTTGAAAAATTCTTTACTTTAATATTATACAATGTATTATTATTATTGTTACTCATTTTATCAATTTTTTATCTCAACTTTAATTTTTTACAAATCAAATGAATCTCAATCGAGTTGATCAATTCGACTTTTTAATCATTGCGCATGATAATTCTATTATTATTCAATTGTTGGGATAATTGGAAATAACAAAACGAAGGGATCATAAAAAATTTTTAACTTGTTTAGAGGAGAATTGGAATCGTGTCACGATGATCCTTCCTGTCGCGTGGTTTGCTTTTCCCAGAAGATCGATGTTCTTTCGGTAGAATGAAACGCGATTGATATTTCGATAGAAAAGCTTCGAAATTGATTCTTTTTTGATTGTTGTTTTTTTGTGTTGTTTGAAATTATTAGATTGTAAATACTTTTTATCTGATTATCCGATTTTGTTTTGGTAGGAATCTGGGAAGAGATTGATTTTTTAGAAAAGAAATTACAATTTTAATTTTGTTTATATTTAATATTCATTCAAAAATATAATATTCGTAATAAAATTATATCTTATTTGAATTATATACAGATTTTCGATTGAGTAATTGCTACGAATTATTGACAATATCAATAAATAAAAATAATTTTATTTCTCTTTTACTTATTCATCTAATATTCATCTAATATAATAATAATCTGATGATTAGATAGATAGATAGATAGATAGATAATATAGCTTCGTTTCTTCTTATGTAAAATTTAAATATTAGATTACAATATAATAATTTTTAAATTATATTTTATTTA